CGTCTTCCCCTGCTGCAGGTGTTCACAGCCCACGTGGGGCTGTCTGGAGCAGGCACAGGCAGCCGCATGCAGGCTACGAGTAGCTGCAGCGTGGGGCACCGGGCATGGGACCAGGTTACAAGCTGGTGCTGAGCGCAGGGCAGAGTGACCCCTCACCCACTGCGTGGCCAACACCTCATGCTGCAGCCGCTTATAGCCCACCTGGGACTGCCTGTACCTGCTCCAGACAGCCCCGCGAGGGCTGTGAGTGCCAGCAGCAGGGAGCACCGGCCATGGGGTGGGCGAGGGGCCACTTTTCCCTGCGCTCATCACCAGCTTCTTCCCTGTCAGTAAGCAGAGGGTCGGGGCTGTGCGCTGCCCCTCACCTGTACCACAGGGCTGGTGGGCACTGGGAGTGAGTGGACAGGGAGCTAGCAGGAGCACAGGGCCCGCACCGCACCAGTGCCCCAGGGTCAGTGCCAGCGGGGCCCAGATCAGGGTGGCAGGAGCACGGGGTCCCAGCTTGCAGGGGCTGTATGGAGCCGAGCTAGCTCCCCCCCTTCCTGCTGGTGCAGCCCAGCCTGGCTCCATAGACCCCTACCAGCCTGTGCCTTGCTTTAGGCCCCACCAGTGCTGGCCTTGGGACATTGGTCCCAAGACATTGAGACATTGGTCCCAAGATGGTGACTGGGGGAGGCACCTGTCAAAGGGTGTGGCTACCCATGTGGCCCTTGACAGCCTGCCAAAACTGGGTAAGCGGCTCTCCGCCCAAAATAATTGCCTGCCCCTGGTCTAAGGACATAGGTGGACAAGGTTCTTCAGGTGAATCTGATATCTTTTTTTACACCAACTTAAATAGTTGGAAAAAAAATGTTTAGCAAGCTTTTGGGTTTAAGAACCCTTCTTCAGGCTGAAGAAATCTGTTTGAAATGAGCACTTTGTGGCACTACAGACAGGCTGCATGTATGCACACTTGCCTTTTGTAGCACTATAAGGGCATATTAAATGTAACTCCATAAATGTAACTTGTGTCCAAGACCTGAGTTGGCTAGAAAGCTATCTTATATGCATCTATACAAGCTTCTGTAGCTCCTTGAAGCAGAGTGTAGATGTATTCAGAGACGCAGTTAGATCTTAGCTATGAGTTTCCCCTTTTCTGCTCTTAATTTCAGTTATATTATTTTTGTGTAAATGCTATTACCATAAACACCTTAATTAGAAGTTACCTGCAGAAATATAATTTTTTATTCAATATGTGCAAATATTACTCTTGGGTTTTTATTCATCAGCAGAAGGAGGGGTTTACAGCTTCAGAGAAGACCAGGAAATTTAAATTGTGCAATTTTCCTCACTGTCAGCTTGATCAAAGAGAAAATGGTAGAAAGGGGTGGGGAACAGGTTCAGAATAAGTTATGTAAAAAACCAAAAATTTGAAGAGGAATAGCAAAAGAAGCAGAATCTTGCCCCAATGCTTCCAACACATTTCATGCCACTTTGGGTAGATATTGATCAGAATCTAGTAGTGGAAGGAATGATTGCAGGCAACCACATCATATAATCCTTTTGTTTATGCATGTAGTAAGATTCATCTTGGGTTGTTTAGCCTCTACTCTTCCTGGAAGGCTGGTCACACCCCATGGTTAGAAATGTGTTTTCTAATTTCCAGCCCAAACTTGTTCCTGGGAAATTATAGTATTTCTGTACCTTATATTCTGCCATTCATATTCTTGAAGGATTTATATTACGTTGTCAGTCACCAAAGACATTAATGCTGTAGCAAGGGGTTAATTTTATAATGTGCAAAAGCAGAAATGGTAGGATGTGCATGTTATGTATGTTGTTCTAAGTAATGTGTTACCTGAAATATGTTTTAGAAAATGAAGGAAAAATATGAAGGGTTTAAGAGTATGGTTCTTCTGTATTCCAAAAATGCCTAATTGATTTTTGGATGCAATATACATCGTTGACTTATTTTTACTGAAGCAGTTATTTCTTGCTTATCTTTCAGTCGCCCTCTGCCCTCTAAATGGTCTACAGCCAGCCCAGCAAGTATAGCCAGTAGAGGTATGCTTATTGTTTTACTGTACACAAAAATAGAATTATTTTGTTTAAATTGTACTCTTGGACAGGCCATCATTCTCATATTTTTTTAATTAAACGAGTTCTGATCAAGTCTTTTCTAATATTTTTTGGTCTTTACGCTAAATTAAAACTGCATGACTACAGATGGTGCTATCATCTTGTTTTCAGTTGCTTATACACTCTGTGGCCCTGTGTGTTCAGAGTGCAACTTTCCATAATGGATGTCTACCTCTGTAAGGAATGCTTTCCTAGAATGGTCTGCTGCTTCAGTGTGAAGTTTGGGAAAATATTTTCTTCTTCTGTGTGCTTTGTTTTACAGCTGTTTCATTGTGAACCTCAACTGGCTCCCTTCTTTGAGGCAGAGGTTGGCATTTTAAACAGTGGTGTGATATCAGGGATATCACAAGGAAAATTCACCCAGATTTAGCCAAATGAATTTCAGTTCTCATTTGCTCAGCTGAAGCATACTGGTTTGGCAAATAGCATTCACTGAGCTTTGTTTGTTCTGGGTATTCCCCAGTTTGGAACTACTGTAGCTGAATTTTTCCAGATGGTCATGCTTCTTGCTTCTGTAGTACTGAGGGCAAAACTGAGAACAGGCAGATTCAGGAGAAAGGAAAAGGAGGATGAGTGGAATGCAGAGTGGGCTGTAGGTGATAAGGAGGAGAGGGAGAAGGGGCAGAGATCAGGTGAAAGCAGATTTAGGAAGGGGAACAAAACACAATAAAATGGGCATTTTGAATGGACAGATGAGCACAGAACAGTTCATAGGGGCACAACCTGGAATGAAATCCATGATTTCAGAAATGGAACACTGTTTTGCTACTGGTAGTTATCTCTCTCCTTTGACTAGTCCATATTGATACTAGTACATCCATTAGTTATTCTGTTAGCTCAAGCAAAGTCTGCTATGAATGTAGGGCTAGGGACAGACATTCAAAAAGCCTGAGCCTAAATTGATTCAATCTTTGCAGGTTTGTCTAACTTGCCTAGGTTGAACCGGTTTGCAACTGTACAGACATTCCATCTGGACTGAGGAAATGCAGGCACATGCCTGCAGTGGCTCAGGCTAGAAGCCGGGTGGTGCTAGAACCGCCCTCCCTTCCCTTCTACAGTGCTAAACTAAGGGGGCGGGTGTCCAGGACCTGGCAGGACTCTCTTATTAGGAAGGGATGTAAACCCACACCCAGCCTGCACTGTCCCAGGCATTTCCCCACTCGCTGCTCAAGGGACAGGAGTGTTGCTAGACCCCAGCCCCCCAGCTAGCACTCTGAGGCAAAGGAGGCTGGGGAGCAGTGCATGCATCTGTTTATGATGCTGAACTTTTTAATTTCCCTCTCCTTGCTTCTAACTACTGTCTGCAAACCGGACGAGCGAGGGAGCCAGCAGAGAGCTGATAACAGAGTGTTTATTAGCCCATTAACAAAACAAAAGCCTGTCTCATTAGTTTAAGCTCTTCTTAAACCGCTTTTTCCAAGGAAGGAGTGGAGGGACATTACCAGCTGACCAGTCGCTTAGGTCCAAAAAGCCCTAAGCGGACACTGCTCTGTGTTCCTGTCCCAGTGAAATTGGACGGACACACACACACACACACACACACACACACACACACACACACACACACACACACACACACACACCCACACACACACACACACACACACACACACACACACACACCCCTCCCCTCTAGTCTCTGGCGAAGCTCCAGCTAGGGAGCAGAGGGGCCGTGTTCCCTGGAGCAGACAGCACAGGGCAGCAAAATATCGGGGATGCTGAGAGACTCTGGTTTAACTTAAACCAGGAAGGGGACTGGAACAGATATTGCATAAACCGGTTTAATCCAAATCAGTTAAATCTGATATTACATTCAGCCAGGTGCATCTTAAACCAGTTTCAGCCATTTTGAAACTAGTTTATATGCACTGAACTTTTGTTCTGTTACAGGTTTAAACCAATTTCTGATCACTTAAACCAGTTTGTGTGATGTCTGTTTGTGTGATGTCTGTCCGTAGCCCAAATGACCTTAGAGTCATAGATGCTAGGGTCGGAAGGGACCTCAATAGATCATCGAGTCCGACCCCCTGCATAGGCAGGAAAGAGGGCTGGGGCTAGATGACCCCCGCTAGATGCCTATCTAACCTCCTCTTGAAGACCCCCAGGGTAGGGGAGAGCACTACCTCCCTTGGGAGCCCATTCCAGACCTTGGCCACTCGAACTGTGAAGAAGTTCTTCCTAATGTCCAATCTAAATCTGTTCTCTGGTAGCTTGTGGCCATTATTTCTTGTAACCCCCGGGGGCGCCTTGGTGAATAAAACCTCACCAGTTCCCTTCTGTGCCCCTGTGATGAATGAGGCATGGACCCTGTAGGGTTCCACACAATAGAATGTTTTTTCAGTTTGCTTTTTTTTTAATCTTTAAAAATTTATATTAAAAAATATATAGTGATCGTGGAAAGTTCTGGAATACCAGTGTTTGAAAAATATGTCTAGTTTTATATATGCAGGTAGAGTCAGTAGTTTTATATTTACTAAAATCACTGGAAAAGACATGTTCTGGATGGGTTAATTTCTAATATGACTGTTGAGTAGTGAGGCTTGGGAATTCTGTCATCACCTAACGTTTCCCTAAAACAAAAAATAGCTTGTTGTAATGGTTTTCGTTTCCTTCTAGGTATTTACATGGCAATGATTTGTTAATAAATAGTTACAAAAAGCATACATTAATATGAAATTCAGTTGCAATGTCACATACTCAAAATTATGAAATGCTGGAATATTATCATATTTAATCCTTGCAGTTTCAGGAAGTAGCAGCAAGACTGCCCCAAGTCCAGGAGCACTGCAGAGGTCACGCAGCGACATCGATGTTAATGCTGCTGCAGGTGCAAAGGCACGGCATGCTGCTGGACAGTCATCAGGGGCTGGGCGTTTGTCTGCAGCTGGTCTGCCTCCAGGGTCATATGCTTCACTAGGTGAGGGGATCTGTGTTTACAGTAATTTTCTGTTGGCATTTTCCTTAAGCAAATTGTAAGGCAAAAAATAGTCCTGTTCAGGAAAAGCATCAGTTAACGTATTTTTAACAGACTTGATAGTTTATAGGCACCTTGTCCTTGAACTTTGTCATCTCTATTGTCCGAGTAGGAATTACCTCTCTCCTGCCTTTTTGGTTCAGTTTTCTTTGGAAGGATTATTTTGACTCTAACTTGAGGGTTTGCAAGTGTACTTTAGCCCTTTACAGCTCCCTTTACTGAGAAGGAAGGCCAGTGCAAAGAATACATCTTCGTAATGCTCTTGTAAGAGGTAGATCCAGATGTGCCATGTTCTCTAGAAGCAGATAAATGAAAAAATGCCTTTTCTGTAGCAATCATGGTATCTGCCAGTTTTTGGGAACAGTGTGTGAGTCACCGTTACAGACCGCTCGCATTTAAAATTATACTCAACGTTTCTGTAGCTAACGCATGGTTACATACGTCTCAGAAGTGTAGTAAAATAATTTCATCTTTAAATCTGTTAGTGTTTTATACAGCGCACAATGTAGGTATCAAGTGTTTCCTCCTAAGAATGCTGATTCAACTCTATTTTACTTGTTGGCTTTTTTGGTGATGGCTAATGCACTTTCTTTAGACAAAAAAGTTCTGCTATCACTTTTTTGCCTGAGGAGAAGTCTATCACAGATGGCATTTCTACAGTTAGAACTGTTGCCCATCCCAGTCAGACCCAGCTTTTTGCAATTGCACCATCAGTGAGGAAGCATGAGACACCCTTATGCAGACTGTTTATGTTCTGGATAGTGGCAGGGGGGAGGGTAGATATAACTTTCACAGTACTACTTCATTTCCCTCATTCAAGATACCATCCAGAGTACCAAAGACAACCTAGAAGCAGATAGTAATTCCAGTATTACCAAACACAATCAGTAAAAGTCATGAAAGAGGAGGGAAAATGTGTGCATATGGTCCTTTTTTAATTTGTCTTCTGTTTTATGAGGCTTTAGGTGGGTTTCGGCAATGTATTCAACCATTTTTGCAAACATGAAAGCTGAAAACTTTTTCGAGAACTAAGATCTTCACTGGAACAGTGCCACCCCACCCCTTCCCCTCCCCTCAGGAGTATTGACAATTTCTTCATAACATTAAGCATCTCAAGGCATGTGCCTTGAAAATTGTGAAAGTGGAAAACACTGTTGCTGACAGTCTGTCCGTGGCCTCCCTTGGGGTGCAACACTTTTCTTTATTGGGGTTCTCAAGGCAAAGCAAAAATTTAGTCCTTTATTTTACAAGCACCTGGGAAGTGAAGTGAAAGTGAAGAGGCGTTAGAATGATGGACATGGGAGAAGAAAAAAGAGGTCAAAGTGAGGAGTTAATACAGAACAACAAAATTATCCTGCCTATGACAGTAATACATTTTATTCATATTGATTAAATATAAGGATTACTTTGGGCATTACTTAAAAAGAAACTGAACCTTGGGTTGAATAGTGTTATGCTATAAGAACATCTAAAACAGCAACATCAAAATTACCTTTTGCTCCAGGTTGGATGCGGACCACAAGGCTTCTTGTGGGCTGGATCTGGCCTGGGACCTGAGTTGGCAGCTGCGGCCATCGCAGCAAGTGTTGAGCAAGCAACTATGGACCAGACAGCTGTTTGCCATGGTGGAGGCTTTGCAAGTGGTGGTAGGGCAAGTTGAAGAGCACAGCCCTCACTTGCCCCTGCTGAAGCTGATGGTTATGTTTACCAGGGTCCCAGATTCTGCAGTAGGCATGGCCTACTGTTGGCCATGTCCTCAAACTCCATGGTGCACTGGTAGTCCAGAAGGAGGTCTAGTCTGGAGGCTGCATGTTTTACACCCCATATCTAAAGGATTACATGTTTAATTCCCAGCATTTGCAGTGTTGTTCACAAGCACACGCTAATCTTTAGTGTAGTAAATACTGGGACTTGTATGTAAGGAAATGACAGTAGTGGAAGGAACTGCTGATGCTACCAGTTTCATGTCTTGGTTTTTGTATGTTCTGGGCTCATTCCCAGTGAATATTTGAACAGCTCCTTTAGTATTTGGAAAGCATTGCTTCTTGTAAGTACCATTTGGACTCCTACAAAAAGCTGCTAGTCTTGAGTTTGAATGAATGGAAAAATGACCTGACTGAAGATATGTTTGATAGAAATATATGGATACTATGCATGACAGATGTTGATATTGTAGGTAAGACAGAATTTGAGTGTACTGGGATAGAAATGAAATAGTGAGAATTTGATCTTTGCTGTTCTTTCTAAACAGTGTTTTAATATGGAGTTTGACAGGTAATAAAACTTTTAGAAGAGACTCCTTTTGGTCAAGTAGATAACAGTAAAAAGATAAGGGTCTGGGGCACACATTGCATAAACTGGTTTGACCCAAATCAGGCAAGTCTGATACTACATTCAACCAGGTTTATCTCAAACTGGTTTCAGCCATTTTCAAACTGGTTTATGTGCACTGAACATCTGTTCTGTTACAGGTTTAAACCAGTTTCTGATACTTAAACTGGTTTATGTGTAATGTCTGTCTATAGCTCCTGTAGTTTCAGCCCTGACTTCATAAATTGGTGCTGCTGGACAGTAGGGTTTGAGTAAAGGGCACACAAGAAATGTAATTTAATGTTTTATATAAATAAAAATATATACTCTGCTGGCCCGTGCCAACCTGGCCAGCCTCCTCCCATCCCCAGTAGCACATGGGAATCCGGCTTCAGTTGCATGCTGCTCTGGATGGGACAGACCCGCCTGGGTTGGCACCAGCCAGCAGAGGCAGCGGCAGAGCCGTGTACCACTCGGGACCAGCTGGTGCAAGGGGGGGGAAAGTGCAACTGAGCCCCTGCTGCTCCGGCTGGGTTCATCCTGTCCCAAGCAGCACATGGCTACTCTTCTTTCCACACGCACCGCGTTGGCAACGTCAAGCTGACGCAGTGCATTTGGGAACCTTGTCTCTTCCCCAGCCCTTCAGCAGCTATTAGGAAGCTGCTAAGGGGCTGGGGGAGGGACAAGGAGTGGGAACGAAAGTAAACAGTGTTTACTTTCATTTCCCATCGCAGCACCTTGGGCCTCAGAAAATGCCTTGGTGGGCCTAATGTTAGACAAGCCTGATGTATTGCATGCCGCAGGGCACTTTCCCTGTATAAATAAATATTTTCTTCTTTGTCTTATGTCACATGAGCGATGAGTAGGTTTTACAGTACTTTACAATTGAAAAGGAAAGTAACTGTGTTTATGCTGTGTGAAAGCTGTTTCTTCTGGATTTCTTTTGAATGACCTCTTTAAGGCTTAGTTTTTTAACAGTATACTTCATATATATATATAATACTTCTGGTTTTATGCTTCCTTCTTCAATGGCCAATGGGAATTTCTGAGAATTCAAAATGCTGAAACTTAAAACTATCTCACCACTGGATGGCATGTCTCTCCCTGATAAGGATGTTTAGTTTAGGATACGTATTCTCCAGCTGTGAATTCACAGTGTAATCCACTTTATAGAATTGTATTTCTTTTCTCTTAGCCTCTGAATGTAACCTAAAAACAACATGAATTGCATATAAACTGAAGCAGTGTCAAAGCATGTTCCAGAATGTGCCCTGATTGCAACAACTCTTTTGTCAGTTGAATTTCAGGCCTGTTGCTTCATTTCCATAGCTTTGCTGATGGTGAATTTCAGGTGTAACAATTCAGATAGCATTATTTAATTAGCTACTTTTTTCCCACTTAGTGCAGCTTCGGATTCAGAACTGACAAATTTAAGAGATCATAGGCTTTACTTGCCTCTCTATGTTATTTCCTTTTTATTAGTTGAAGAGAACTCCCCTGTACTGTTACTTAATTTAAAATGTTTTGTTTTAAAGGGACTAGTTCTAGAAAAAATACCAAGTTATCTGCCAGGTTTAGCCATTTAAAGATCTGTTTAAAGCCCTAAGTTATACTTTCTGAGCAGAATCCAACCAATTGTGCATCTGTTACATAGTAAACACTATAGAGCAGTGGTTCTCAACCTGTGATTCGTGGACCCCTGGGGGTCTGTAGACTGTTAAAAGGGTCCATGAAAGGTGACGATGATCAATCAAAAGTATGTCAATACCCACACTTACAATTCAAAGGGGTTCACACTTCCATTTGAAATTTCCAAAGGGATCTGTATGTACATTTGAAATGTTTAGAGGTCTGCAAAAAAAATCTGGATACACCTTTCCACTCTCTCTCACACACTCGCACACTTCTTTCCAATTGAACTTGTAAATATTTAATGCTTTTAAACTATATGTACCGGTTTTCCTTCTGATATGTCTTTATTTTGCTGTCCTTTTTTTCATAAACTTTCCCACAAATTTCTTCTTTGTAGTTTCATGTTAAGTAGCAGAATTTCTGCAGAACTGGAACCATTGTGCTTCAGTAACATTATAAAAATCCCAAAATTAAATTTCCACTGGCAGTTGAGCGCCAAACTCTGAAAGAGTAAATAATTTCTGCTTTTAGGGTTTTAAGTTTTTGCATCTTTTGGGAGCATATGGGGGGGGGGGGTCTCAGATGCCATCTTATGACTTTATGTATGTTAGAATGAGGACCATAACTTTTCTAAAATTAGTTAATAAGTATATGAATTGGATGTACAGTTTCTGCAGTGTTTAATATTAATGTAGTTTCCTTAATGAATGTTTTATCAGTCTGTTGCCTGCACCTTTATTCTAACACACTAAGTTTTCCTTGTTTCTTTGCCTGCTTTTTGAACAAAGAGGATACTTCTGACAAGATGGATGGTAAGAACTTGTTTTGTCTGTCCTCCTCTAAACCTATTAAAACGTCTTTGAGTTTGCATTTCATGTAAAGTTTATGTGCATACTTATACTACTCTATTAACTAATGAAGTCTCTCAAAATTCTTTGTGAACCCTCCTGTATCATAATCGTGAAGTCTTAATGTACATCAGTTTTGTATTATTACTGCAGTTGTCAGTGTCTTGTATATGTGTTGTCCAGCTGCAAAAGAAACTTCATGCATCTTGACGCATCAGAGTACAAATAGATTTTATCTTCTTTCAATCAGCTGGAACATCAGCAATTTTGAACTGTCTTTAGAGTTTTGTATTTGCTACAGTTAAAAGTTTATGTACGGTGTGCTTCATCATGATCCATGGTTTCCTCTGTACATCCAGCATAGTCAGATTTCTATTTTCCCCAGCAAAGACTTTGATTAAAAAAAAACAGTGGAGGAGAAGGCACTTCCTTAAAAAATATTTTAAGGGGATTTATTTTTAAAGTTAGGATTGTTTTATTTAAAGAATATTTCATCAGAATCTGTGTTCTGAAATAGTCCTGTTTAACTTTAAAAATACCCTATGTAAGCCTTCTCCTAGTTAGATTCTTAAAAATATTGTTGAATGTTCTGAGCTTCACAGTCTTCCAAAAATATATAGATTTTTGTCTCCAACTTGGTTTTAGCACTTATTGTTATAGCTATATATTATATACTGTTTTAGTTCGCTTAATGTAACTGAAAAAGCCTTTTGAGAAGCTACATCCTTATTGTAGCTGCTGCTCTCCTGAAACTATAAGAGCAGAGGTTGTCATTTGCCCAAAGGTGTTACAATGGGCCATATTGTAAAGAAGCCAGAACACCAACTCAGCAGTAGAAAATTCTAAGTCTGATTTATTTGCAGAGAACTCTTTGTGATTTAGTGACCGTTTAATATTTTTTGCTACGTACATCGCTACAATATCCTAGCATGTTGAGAAAAATTAGGAACTGCCAGCAAGAAAGTAGATTATATTCCCCTTTACCCATAAATTAGTGAATAATAAATACACAAATTGGACACGGGAGAAGAGAAGGCCTTTAAAATACTAGAATCTCAAGCCATATCAAAATTCTTTATAACCATTACATTACATTTCACTTTGCAGCAAGAACAAATATAGAATGTGGTGTCTGCTCATGTCATTTCAAATCTCTTAACGTTGGGAAGGAGTCTCATTTAAAATAGCATTGTAACTAGTGAGGAAAGAATATATAGACTCCTACAAAATTAAATTTGCTTACGTTGCATATGATAGGATTTCTTAGTATATAATAATACTACAACAGTTTTACTCTTGGCTCCTGTGGTCAGGTTGCCTTTTTATCACTGTGCTCACCTTGGAATTTAAGACCGGTAGAGAATTCAGAAAGTTGTTGGTTTGTTTTTTTTTAAATTACCAACCAATTGTGGGAGGATTTTAAAAACCTGTCACTACCTGAATATATTCTCCCATAATTAGACCTTTGTTTCAAAGATGCTAGGGGCAAAGGGGTACATGGACATCTTCCATCTCTGTCCACTCTTTGGATTATACATTTATCCCATGCTTCATCACAGTAACAAATGTACCCAGATTCAGCAGTCTCATTTAATTGTAGCTTGTGCTCTAAGGGAAGTTGTCTAGTTTTTCAAAGTTTTAAGCAAAAATCTATCTTGCATGAGTCATTTCACCTCCTCACCTGCAGCATCTTCCATCAGATTATCTCTGCGCAGTATTTAAAGCACTATCTGTATTACTTGCTTCAGTCTAGAGGTTGTTTTGAAACTCCTTGGAGAAGTACTTACTTTGTGTGCACCTGTTATCTCCTTTTTCTCAGGAGTAGCTTTCAGTAGGGCACTTGATTTGAGGTCTTTTAAACAAATCTAGATGTGCTATTTTTAGATCAGTCTCACTCTCATATGAATGATGAGAACTTTTCTTTTTATTTTGTTATGCAGTGCTTTTCAAAGAAAGTTTGGCATCACATGTTGTATTCCAGTAATTTGGTACCAAGCAGTCCTTGACATACCGTTTTAGTTTAATGGTGGAGTTGCAACATGAGAGCAGGGTTTTAGACTCCTTATATAATATGCTTAGTTTCCTTAAGGATCATAGGAACAGTCTGAAAAAAGGAATTGAATCAAAAAGTAATAGTACTGTTTGGAATATCATTATTTTGTTATTTTTTCTGTTTAGGAACAGCTTCTGAAGATGGTAAGAAAATAAATCTTTTGTTAGATTAGCAAATACTTTCATCTTCATGCCTTCATCAATACAAACTAAATTATAGAAGTAGAACTATGTCATTGGGATGCTTTGGGTTCATCTTGTTAGCTAGTTTATGCACCTAAGAATAATAATAATAATAATAAGTTATTGTTGTAATATTTTTTGTAACTCTGCTGAATTAATATTTTAGTTTTCAAGTAGTCACCTGCAACAGAAATGTCATTGCCTAACATTTTTAGAGTAAGATAGGAGTTTTATATTGGAATCATAAATATTTTTTTTTAAACTTTCATCCCCTGCTAGAATGTGCTCTGATGTGGGAAGCAGGTGCTACCATCAATCATCTATTTGAAATTTGAAAATCTATTTACATTGCATTGTTAAAATGCTTCCAATCTAGCACCAGACAGTAGATGCACAGTCTCTAAATGAATGATCAGTATGCTTGCGTCAAAATTCAAACAGATATTTTTTGTGTGTTAATGAAAATTTAATTGGGCTTTGAGCAGTAATTTAGCAACATAACCAAATGGTGGCACTCTCTATTCCTGCATTCACTGGGTCAAATTCTGAGTACAATTACATGTCCTGCATCCTCATTACAATCAGTAAGAAACATTGACATATCATGGGCATAACCAAGGGTAGAGTTTGACCCAGTCTAACTGGTAATGCTAATACATTATTTACTAATACCCAAGTGAATAACCTCCTTTATCCTGAC